CATGACATAATTTTCTGGAATTTTCCAAGCTGTTTAAAGGCACAGTCAACTTAGTGTATGTAAACTCCTGACCCACTGGAATTGTGATACAGTGAATTATAAGTGAAATAATCTGTCTGTAAAGAATTGTTGGAAAAATTACTTGTGTCATGCACAAAGTAGATGTCCTAACTGACTTGCCAAAACTATAGTTTGTTAACAAGACATTTGTGGAGTGGTTGAAAGACTAGTTTTTATGACTCCAACCTAAGTGTATGTAAACTTCCGACTTCAACTGTTGGTGTTCCTTTTGTCTAGGTCGGAAAGGGCAGTGTGGAGTGGAATAGAGATTGCATCTTCTGTGGATCTGTTGGGGCGGTATGCAAATTAGAGTGGGTCTAGGGTTTCTGGGATAATGGTGTTTATGTGAGCCATGACCAGCCTGTGGGACCTTATATAGACAAGTGTGTGCCTTTCCAAATCATGTCCAATCAATTGCATTTACCACAGGTGGACTCCAATCAAGTTGTAGAAACATAAAGTATTATCAATGGAAACAGGATGCACCTGAGCTCCATTTCTAGTCTCATAGTAAAGGGTCTGAATACTTATGTAAATAAGGTATTTCTGTTTTAGATATTTAAAACATTTGCAAACATTTCTAAAAACCTGTTTTTACTTTGTCATTATGGGGTATTGTGAGTAGATTGATGAGGAAAAATTGATTATTGATTTAATCCATTTTAGAATAAGGCTGTAACGTAACAAAATGTTGAAAAAGTGAAGGGGTCTGAATACTTTCCGAATGCACTGTAGGCCTACTGCAGCTCTGATTGGTTATGGCTCACCAGTCTGTGTAGAGTACAGGCCTGACTCGTGTCTGTCAATGCAATTTATTCCTACTCCAATGTGCTCTGCCTACAAGAAAATCTCTTGCACAGTTAGTTTTGCATACTAAGTCTTGCATAGTTCGTTTTCTTCCATTATAATACATTGAAAGTGGCTAATTTTGCATTGATTCAAGCACAATTCCCACAGTAGAGCGAAACATTCATAGCGTTAACTAAAGGGGTATAGTAGAAAGTTGAGTGAAGTTTAATATCGTGCTTCTCTGCGCGGGCTGATATTTCTTCAGCGCAGCACTCCGAGGGAACATTGCCTACAGGTGTAATCAGTCATTGGTACAGATATGGTGGCGTAGCAGGAAAATCGGAATGTTGTGAACCAGGAGGTTGTGAGTTCAAATCCCAGGTGAGGATGTGTTAAATAATAATTATTGTATGAATAAACATTCATGTCAAATTGTGTTAAATATGTAAGGTGAAAACACTATGTTAAAAGCACTGTTTGTGTGTGTATCCCTAGCATTTGCCATAAGACAAAGAGCTGTGAATAGATCAGTGGTTCACCAATCAGGGTCTTGATGAACCACGCGCCCTAGATTTATTTTTTGGGGGGGAGAACATTTATTTGAGACCATCAGGTGGCGTCCTCGGGACAAACCGGGAACTAGACAAAAACCTCCAGGGGACCATGACACAACGTCCCAAGAACTTCCTAAAAACGTCCTTGGGACAAATCGGGAACTAGACAAGACGTCCAGGGGACCATGACAAAACGTCCCAAGGATGTCCTAAAAAAGTCCTCTGGGACAAACCGGAAACTAGACAAAACCTCCAGGGGACCATGACACAACATCCCAAGAACGTCCTCGGGGACGTCCCCGGGACCAACCAGGAACTAGACAAAACCTCTAGGGGACCATGACAGAATGCCCTGCCGACTTTAGGCGACCATTTCGTGACGTCCCGGGGATGTCCTAACGACTCATTATTGTTAGCAGGGTATATCCTTATTATGAAAGTGAGGAATACATAATATGGCCACACTATCAGTCTGTGCTCAGTATCTAATTTTAAGGACAGATGCCTTGTTCCAGTGTAAGGTACAGTTGTCCATCCGCAATTTACCTTTTACTGCAAGCATGACATTGATAGTGACCCTCATGTTTATTAGAAAGCTTATCATAGGAAAACTGTACTTTTGACCTCATCTCAGATTACAAGGTCACAAAAAGGGAACATGGAGAGAATTTATTGTCAGCGATATACTGGAGGACAGAGGTAGATTTGTCCTCAAACCTAAACATCCCCACACTGGGGAACACTATGATATTACTATGGTGAGATGACCATCATTTGAGGATACCATTTTGACTTAGTTTTTGATTGCTATTCTTAGAAATGAACTTAACCTTTTCATTACATTATATATCATGTTAAAATATCAGTGATTCTACATGTGAATGTTTGTCAATGATGTGTGAGATTAAATGTTATGATATAAGGAATTATAATAAATAATAATTATACATTTGCTTTTTAAACTACAATGTCTTTCTATATTTGCACTTGTGTTCAAAGTAACTAACTGTTTATATATTTGTATCATAGACTTCTTAATTCAAATTCAGTGATGACAATAAGGGACGATGCATTTTCTGGCCTTCCACACCTGGAGTACCTGTAAGTGCCTTTCCGTTCATTCACTCATCTTTAAAATAATTATATACTGAAGCTAATTTTGTTGTTCAAGAAATTTGTTAAAGAGATACTAATGAGTAACTGTATCTCTTTTTTTTCATAGTCAGGATTAATTCTACTATGGATTAGCCCCATGTGATCACACAATCCATTTTCTCTTTTGAAGTGCTGTATATCCTTTGTTATTTAGGTTCATTGAGAGTAATAAGATAGAGACTGTCTCCAAATATTCCTTCAGAGGACTCAGGGACCTGACTCACCTGTAAGTTCAAATAATCATTATTGTCATAAGAGGAAGTTACATTGAACAACTTGATGTTAGATGGTTCCTCACCCTGAAAGTAGTCTATGGGCCAAGATAAACTATAATCCATGGTTTGGTTTAACTACACATTTCAGCTAACTTTAGCTACCGCTAGCTAACAAGCAATGGAAGTGATAGGGGCAACAACACAAAATCATGGCCAAATCAACTGAAATCAACTCTATTTGTGGTTTGACATTACGCGACCTGACAGAATTCAGATAGAAATTTGAGTTATAGATCTATAATCTACATAAACATTGCTTGTTTTGTCACATAAACTGAAATTAGGCAAACATCTTAGATTTTTAACAACCAGTTAAAGGCAGAGCGATTTCTACATAATGCAGTTTTAAAAGTGATTTGGCCATTTACAATCACTTTCATTGATTGTTAGCTGGCGGTGGCTAAAATTAGCTGAAGTTTATAGTGCCTGTTTAAAGAAAACTGAACTATGGATTATAGTATCTCCTTGCCCATAGACTACTTTAATAAGAGTGAGGAACCATCTAACTTCAAGTTGTTGAATCCTGAACTTCTCCTTTAATTGCTGTGAAGAAAATGTATGCTTGGGGATAATGCAGTAGTATTTTAGCCGATATTGTCTTCTTACCAGGGCATTACCAGGGCTACAAGGGCTTACGAGAGCTACATGGATATTTTACCCGAAATGCAACCTAATGGTTGTCCACTTAATTTCCACTTGCGTTTTGTCAGTAGTTTTGTTAGTAAGTGCATACATTTTTCCCACGGGGGGCCAGTATGAAAAATGTATGCACTCACTAATTGTAAGTCGCTCTGGATAAGAGCGTCTGCTAAATGACTAAAATGTCAATTGGATCACTAAAATTGGAGACTAAGGGCTCTATTTTTAGCTTGTCGCAAGGCAGTGCTATTGTCAAACGCAAGTAGGTTGGCCATTTTGGCTTGTTAATGCTGCTGCTGTTATTTTCCAACCATATCGCCAGGGTTGGCAATTTACCGACGAATGTAGGCTAATCTTATTAAAATGTTTGGCTTGCACATGCAATGTAATTTACTATGGTGTAGTGAAATGCGACGGGTAGACTGATAGACTTCCATGTTGAAGCTTAACAAAAATGTGAACTGCAAACATTTCTAACAAATGTAACAAAAAATGGATACTTATCGTTGTTATTACTGTAACACGGCGCATGTACGCGTTGCACTGCCTATGCCCAGAGGCCCATGCTTTTGTGGCAAAGTCTGTTTTTTGAGGCACTATCCTATGCACTATGAAAGCCACAGTTCGAGTCCCTGTTGCAGCTCTTTCTTTCTCTCACTACATTTGTGGCAGTTGTGGGATCAGTCCAGTGGTCTTAAGCGGTGTTGGGAAAAAGTGTTCTATACATGCTTGAGGCTAAGTGCGCGAGGACACCTCGAGAGACGGTAAATACTGTAACACGCTTTTGCGGCACATTCCGTTAGGCGCTTCCCACTGCACCGAAGGAGGCACGGTTTGAGTCCCCATTGCAGCTCTTTCTTTCTCCCGCTACATCACTATTATAAAGTTACTGTATTTATAAAACGATCAACTAGGATGAACTTCCATGCCGTGCCGTTGAATTGGAGTTTTGACGAATTGGAGTTCATAACCAGATCAGGGGGCAATGGTATCAATTTCAAATGTAAATGGTATAAATATGTATGAAAATTCATTTTCAGACTCGCTGCCCCCCAAAACCTCAATTTGAGAACCACTGGCCTATTAGAACAAATTGTGTTGTTTGTGACAGTGATTTGTATGCTAAAATGTGCTTAAATGTTCCCACGTGCACTCCTAAAACTTGCACTTCTGGTCATTTTCATCAACACACGCTACCCCTCCCTTCTCAACTCAAACATAAGAAGAACATCATAAAATTGCCAACTTTGACAGTAACAGAAAATATTACTGCTGCACTGGACAAATAATACCAACACGCTTGCGTTTGGAAATAGAGCCATTGAAAGTGTGTGAAAACACAGACTACTACTGAAATCAAATAAAAAATAATGAACATACAATGTTGCTATGTGAAAGATATATTTTACAATCTTTGTGGGTATATTTTTTTCTGGAAAATCTTGCCCTTTGGCCCTCTGTATTTCCATGATGATTAATTGACAGGAATATCTGCTGAATTAATCTGACAATGCTGTTTTCCCTCAGGTCTTTGGCAAACAATAAATTAAAAGCATTACCCAGGGATTCCTTCATCGACCTGGACTCATTGATAGAGCTGTGAGTTGTTATGCATGTGCATTCGATGTGTAGTGATTATTTCTTTAACTGTATAAACATTTGATGATTACTTTCAGGACAACTTCAACAAAGGCAGTTTGCAAAGAAAGACTTAAAGCACAAGTTCATATTTTTTCAACCAAATTTCTATTTTTGATGTAAATGGCATGTTATAGAAGAGTCCAGACACTTTTTTGGTGATTTCAGTTGGTTATGAGAAACTCGTTTTGAGAAACTCGTTCTGCAATGCCAGGGTAGGAATAAAACATTAACAAAAGCTCACAAATCACGCAAATACGTCCAATTTAGAAACGGCAACACTCTCTGTATAGTGATTCAGGTCTTTAGATGTTGTACATATGAAATTGTGTCATTCCAAACTTTTTCGGCAACGTTATATTCCATTGTGTTCGACTTGAGCAAGACTTTTCTGGCTAGCCCGAGCTTGCGCACTCTTCTATAACATGCCATTCACATAAAAAATAATAATTTGGTAGAAGAAATATGAGCTTGTCTTTTAAATGTTTTCTTTAATGCTGAGCACATGAACAGCAATGGCAAACCTTGCATGTGTTGCAGCTGTATTATACACATTGAATTGCTAATTTCTCTGTTTAATTTAACCTATTCTAATATTCATGCGGGGAAAGTACTCTAAAAGTCATTATTTTGAGTAATCCAATGGATTACATTACTGATGACAATTTTAAACAGGTAATCTGATCTGTAATGTAATACAAACCATCAAATCACAATTGGAAAAGTTATCATCAGCATATCAATGAAAGTCATTTTGTGTTTCTCCTAAAGGTAACATATACAATGAGTTTATGATGCTGAGTTTTTGAAAGAAACTTGTTCTCGTAAGGATGAGTTGGAGGAGGAAATGAAGAAGGATTATTACACCCCTATCCACTATCTGAATGCCAGTCTTACCGTAGAGAAGGTCAGAAAGGTTGTTGAGCGGGCTAAACCAAAGAAAGCCACAGGAATTGATGACTTATCTAATGAAGTTTTGAAGGCACCTAAATTGTTGCAAACACTATTTGGTCTCTTCCAGGCTTGTTTTGAGAAAGGCATTATTCCATCTTTATGGTACAAATCTATAATCAAGCCTATTCCAAAATCCTCAAAAAATGACCCTAAAATCCCATTGAACTACAGAGGGATTACTCTCATTAGCACTGTATATAAGTTTTATTCCTGCATTCTAAATAACAAGCTCTCCCACTATGTAGAACTGTCTGGTCAGCTTGCTGATGAACAGAATGGCTTTAGGAAAGCCAGAGCCTGTATAGACCACATCCACTGAGTATACAAAACATTAAGAACACCTGCTCTTTCCATTACCCTTGAGACAATTGAGACATGGATTGTGTATGTGTGCCATTCAGAGGGTGAATGGGCAAGACAAAAAATATAAGTGCCTTTGAATGGGGTATGGTAGTAGGTGCCAGGCGCACCGGTTTGTGTCAAGAACTGCAATGCTGCTGGGCTTTTCACGCTCAACAGTTTCCCATGTGTATCAAATGTATCAAGAATGGTCCACCACCCAAAGGACATCCAGCCAACTTGACACAACTGTGGGAAGCATTGTAGTCAACATGGGCCAGCATCCCTGTGGAACGCTTTCGACTCCTTGTAGAGTCCATGCCCCGACGAATTGAGGCTGTTCTGAGGGCAAAAGGGGGGTTGCGCAACTCAATATTAGGAAGGTGTTCCTAATGTTTGGTATACTCCGTGTATACAGTATACTGTCTCTAAAGTGATCCGAGCTAGAATTCAAGAGAGAACCAACTTTTGCCTGATTTATTGATTTTCAGAAGGCTTTTGATTTGGTGAATAGAAACCTTGCTTTTAGACTAAAATGGGAATTGATGGAAGATTCTATGGCGCAATTAAAGCCCTGTATAGATGTCCAGTTGCCTGTGTACAGGTAAATGAACTGAGGACTGGATGGTTTCCCACTCTGTTTGGGCTCAAACAAGGTGATGTGCTCTCCCCAACGTTATTTGCCTAACGACTTGGCCCATCAAATCAAACATGAACATTTAGGAGTTAAACTAAATGACACGACTCTGGGTATACAACTGTATGCAGACGATATTGTCCTTGCAGAGACTGAGCATGATTTGCAATGTATGCACTGTCAATCTCTGGTGTACGAAGTGGAGATTAATGATCAACCAAGATAAAACCCATATAATGCACTTCAGAAAAAAGGGTACAATAAGAAGTAATCGTTACTTTTGTTTTGGAGCAATACCCCTAAAGTACACTTGCTCATATCAATACCTTTGTTTCCTTTTTGATGAATACATGACCTTTGAGGGGTGTAAAACGTCCCTATCTGAATTTGCAGGTAGAGCATTGGGGTCCATTGGTAGTAAATTGGAAATCTCTAAAGACCTTGGCTATTGGACATATTCACAACTCTATAATTCATGTGTCTATAATTGAACTATGCTGCTGAAATCTGGGGTTGTAAAGAAGCCAACACAGCTAACTCTATTCAAAACAGAGCCATAAGATGTTTCCTTGGAGTGCATACACCTTGCTATTCAAGATGACATGGGATGGGAGCCCAATGAAATGAGACAGAGGGGTGAAATTATTAGGTTATGGAACCGTCTTATCGATATGCCTGAGGACAGAGTAACAAAAAAGGGTTTTCAACATGGATAAAACACACTCAATTACATATTTAAGGAAGCTGATCTACAACACGTATTTAGAAACAAGTTACGATGCAATGTTAACCTGATCAAACACAAGTTAACCCTTAGCTAAAAAGAAAAATGGTCAACTGATACAGTTGAAGTCAGAAGTTTACATACACCTAGGTTGGAGTCATTAAAACTCGTTTTTCAACCACTCCACAAATGTCTTGTTAACAAACTATAGTTTTGGCAAGTCGGTTAGGACATCTACTTTGTGCATGATACAAGTAATTTTTCCAACAATTGTTTACAGACAGATTATTTCACTTATACACTGCTCAAAAAAATAAAGGGAACACTAAAATAACACATCCTAGATCTGAATGAATGAAATAATCTTATTAAATACTTTTTTCTTTACATAGTTGAATGTGCTGACAACAAAATCACACAAAAATTATCAATGGAAATCAAATGTATCAACCCATGGAGGTCTGGATGTCAGTAGTTCCGATGTGGATGTGGTGGAGGAGTCAGGCGCAGGACACAGAGGATACGTCCAAAAGACTTTAATAGTCCAAAGAGCAACAAACAAAACACGACCTCGAAAACAGACGGAGGCGAGGCAATTACGCAAACACGCGTAAACAATAATCCCAAACATAGACAGAGTGCAAACACGCAGCTCTGCACGACAGGCAGAAAATACAACACACAATCAGACTAATGCAAAACAAGGAACTTATACGACAAGTAATCAACACACAAATGGACACAGGTGTAAAAGACAGACAAAAGCAATCACACTACGAAACATAGAGCGGTGGCAGCTAGTACTCCGGGGACGGCGAACGCCGAAGCCTGCCCGAACCAGGAGGAGGAGCAGTCTCGGCAGAATCCGTGACAGTACCCCCCCCTTGACGCGCGGCTCCAGCCGTGCGCCGACCCCGGCCTCGGGGACGGCCAGGAGGACGCGGACCCGGGCGCGTGGGATGCCCACGGTGGAACTCAGTCAGGAGGGATGGATCGAGGATGTCCCTCCTGGGCACCCAGCACCGTTCCTCCGGACCGTACCCCTCCCACTCCACGAGATACTGGAGACCACTCATCCGGCGCCTCAAGTCCAAGATGGTCCGGACCCTGTACGCCGGGGCCCCCTCGATGTCCAAAGGGGGCGGAGGGGTCTCTCCTATCTCATCTTCTTGGAGTGGGCCAGCTACCACCGGCCTGAGAAGAGACACATGGAACGAGGGGTTAATATTTTTGTACTCTATAGGCAGTTGTAACCTGTAACACACCTCGTTCAATCTTCTCAGGACTTTGAAGGGCCCCACAAACCGCCGACCCAGCTTCCGGCAGGGCAGGCGGAGGGGCAGGTTTCGAGTCGAGAGCCAGACTCGATCTCCCGGTGCGTACACCGGTCCCTCACTGCGGTGGCGATCGGCGCTCGCCTTTTGTTGACGGATGGCACGCTGCAGATGGACATGGGCAGCGTCCCACGTCTCCTCCGAGCGCCGAATCCACTCGTCCACCGCAGGGGCCTCGATCTGGCTCTCGTGCCATGGTGCCAGGACCGGCTGATAACCTAAAACACACTGGAAAGGTGTTAAATTGGTGGAGGAGTGGCGGAGAAAGTTCTGGGCCATCTCTGCCCAGGGGATGAACCTAGACCACTCCTCCGGCCGGTCCCGGCAATAGGACCTCAGAAACCTACCCACATCCTGGTTGACACGTTCCACCTGCCCATTGCTCTCTGGGTTGTACCCCGAGGTAAGGCTTACCGAGACCCCCAATCGTTCCATGAACGCCCCCCAAACTCTGGAGGTGAACTGGGGACCTCGGTCAGACACAATATCCTCGGGGACCCCATAGTGCCGGAACACATGGGTAAATAGGGCCTCAGCGGTTTGTAGGGCAGTAGGGAGACCCGGCATTGGAAGGAGACGACAGGCCTTGGAAAACCGATCCACAACGACCAAAATTGTGGTATTCCCCTGGGAGGGGGGTAGGTCGGTTACAAAATCCACCGATAGGTGGGACCATGGTCGTTGTGGAACGGGCAGGGGATGTAACTTACCCCTGGGCAAATGTCTAGGCGCCTTACACTGGGCACACACCGAGCAGGAGGAGACATAAACCCTCACATCCTTAGCTAACGTTGGCCACCAGTATTTCATGCTAAGACAGTGCACGGTCCGGCCAATACCTGGATGTCCAGAGGAGGGTGATGTATGAGCCCAATAAATAAGACGATCACGAACCTCGAGCGGAACGTACGTCCGCCCCACAGGACACTCGGGGGGAGTAGGGTCGGTACGCAGTGCCCGCTCGATTTCCGCATCGACCTCCCATACCACCGGAGCCACCAAACAAGACTCCGGCAGTATGGAAGTAGGCTCGTTGGACCTCTCCTCTGTGTCATACCGCCGGGACAGGGCGTCTGCCTTACCATTCTGGGACCCTGGGATGTATGTGATCTTAAAAACAAACCGGGTTAGGAACATGTTCCACCTAGCCTGACGAGGGTTCAATCTCCTAGCTGCCCGGATGTACTCCAGGTTACGGTGATCAGTCAGAATGAGGAAAGGGTGTTGAGCCCCCTCAAGCCAATGCCTCCACACCTTTAGGGCCTGGACTACGGCTAACAGCTCCCTGTCCCCAACGTCATAGTTGCGCTCCGCCGAGCTGAGCTTCTTGGAGTAGAATGCACAGGGTCGGAGTTTAGGTGGCGTGCCGGACCGTTGTGACAGGACTGCCCCAATACCGGTCTCGGACGCGTCTACCTCTACTTGGAATGGTAAAGAGGGATCCGGATGCGCCAGCACCGGGGCCGAGGTGAACAGGTTCTTCAGTTTGACAAATGCCCTGTCCGCCTCAGCCGACCACTGCAAACGAACCGGACCCCCCTTTAGCAGGGACATAATGGGAGCTGCAACTTGTCCAAAACCCCGAATAAACCTCCGGTAGTAATTAGCAAAACCCAAGAACTGCTGCACCTCTTTTACAGTGGTTGGAGTTTGCCAATTACGCACGGCCGATACACGGTCTACCTCTATCTCCACACCAGACGCGGACAACCGATAACCCAAAAAGGAGACGGACTCCTGGAAGAACAGGCATTTCTCTGCCTTGACATACAAGTCATGCTCCAACAGTCTTCTCAACACTCGGCGCACCAGGGCTACATGCTCGGCTCGTGTAGAAGAGTACACTAGGATGTCGTCGATGTACACTACTACACCCTGCCCATGCATGTCCCGGAAAATCTCGTCAACAAAGGATTGGAAGACTGAAGGAGCATTCATTAACCCGTATGGCATGACGAGATACTCGTAATGACCCGAGGTGGTGCTAAATGCTGTTTTCCATTCATCCCCCTCCCTAATGCGCACCAGATTGTACGCGCTCCTGAGATCCAACTTTGTGAAGAACTGCGCTCCGCGTAACGATTCCGTCATAGTCGCAATCAGTGGAAGTGGGTAACTGTACTTAACTGTGATCTGATTGAGACTACGGTAATCAATACACGGGCGCAATCCCCCGTCCTTCTTCTTCACAAAGAAGAAACTCGAGGAAACCGGGGAAGTGGAGGACCGTATGTATCCCTGTGCCAAGGACTCGGCTATGTAAGTCTCCATAGCCGCTGTCTCCTCTTGAGACAGGGGATACACACGACTCCGTGGAAGAGCCGCTCCTGTTTGGAGATTTATCGCACAGTCCCCCTGTCTATGAGGAGGTAGCCGTGTTGCCCTCGATTTGCTGAACACAAGTGCTAAGTCCTCATACTCAGGGGGAATGCGCAGTGCGGGCACTTGGTTCGGACTCTCTACCGAGGTCGCCCCTACGGAAACACCTAGACATCTCCCTACACACTGGGCAGACCACTCCATAAGAGCCCTCTGTTGCCACGCAATGGTAGGATCATGGGTGCTTAACCAGGGAAGCCCCAACACCACGGGGTACGCAGGAGAGTCAATCAGATAAAACTGAATGATCTCCTCATGACCCCCCTGCGTCGTCATCGTCAGTGGTGCTGTGACCTCCCTGATCAGGCCCGACCCCAACGGCCGGCTGTCTAAGGCGTGGACAGGAAATGGAGCTTCTACCGGCCGAAGGGGAATTCCTAACCTACAACAAAATGCCCGATCAATAAAGTTCCCAGCTGCGCCTGAATCTACTAGCGCCTTATGCTGGGAATGAGGTGCCACCTGTGGAAATCTCACAGGAATACTCATGTGACCAACAGAAAGCTCTGGGTAAGTGGGGCGCCTACTCACCTGAAATGACTCCCCAGTGCGTGACCTGTTGTCCCCTCTCCCAGGAGACCCTCCCCAGCACCTGGCCGCGGTGTGTCCTCCACGACCACAGTTGGTGCAGGGGATGGCCCCCCTCGGGTTCTCTCTCCTCCTCTCTCTAGCGCCAGCACCCCCGAGCTCCATGGGAATCGGCTCGGAGGTGCTGGAGGGTGGAATGGACGACCCCCACTCGGGACGTCCGCGGGTAGCCAGCAGGGTGTCTAGACGGATGGAAATGTCCACCAACTGGTCGAACGACAGGTTGGTGTCCCTGCAGGCCAGCTCACGACGAACGTCCTCTCGTAGGCTACACCGGTAGTGGTCGATGAGGGCCCTCTTATTCCACCCCGCATCCGCCGCTAGCGTCCGGAACTCCAGTGCGAACTCCTGTGCGCTCCTCTTCCCCTGTCGGAGGTGGAACAGACGCTCTCCCGCCTTGCCGGATAGACAGGAGATGAGGGCGGAGACGCTCTCGTATCCCGAGGGCGCCGGGTGTATGGTGGCCAGGTAGAGTTCCACCTGCAGGAGGAATCCCTGACACCCGGCTGCAGAACCGTCATATGCCCTCGGGAGCGAGAGCCGAATGCCACTGGGTTCCGGTGCTGAGAGAGGAGGACTGGCCGTTGGTGATGGGATGGTGTAAGAGTGCGTGGGCACCTCTCGAGTCACCAACCGGCGCAGAGTGTTGGACACCTCGTCCATGGCGGCCCCAAGTTGCCGGATCATGGTGTCTTGGTAGCTGATCCGGTCTTCCAGGGATTCGGGTGCCGCCGCTGTTCCTGCTGACTCCATAGTTTAGGTGTGTTGTTCTGTCAGTAGTTCCGATCTGGATGTGGTGGAGGAGTCAGGCGCAGGACACAGAGGATACGTCCAAAAGACTTTAATAGTCCAAAGAGCAACAAACAAAACACGACCTCGAAAACAGACGGAGGCGAGGCAATTACGCAAACACGCGTAAACAATAATCCCAAACATAGACAGAGTGCAAACACGCAGCTCTGCACGACAGGCAGAAAATACAACACACAATCAGACTAATGCAAAACAAGGAACTTATACGACAAGTAATCAACACACAAATGGACACAGCTGTAAAAGACAGACAAAAGCAATCACACTACGAAACATAGAGCGGTGGCAGCTAGTACTCCGGGGACGGCGAACGCCGAAGCCTGCCCGAACCAGGAGGAGGAGCAGTCTCGGCAGAATCCGTGACACTGGATTTGGAGTCACCCTCAAAATTAAAGTGGAAAACCACACTACAGGCTGATCCAACTTTGATGTAATGTCCTTAAAACAAGTCAAAATGAGGCTCAGTAGTGTGTGTGGCCTCCACGTGCCTGTATGAACTCCCTACAACGCCTGGACATGCTCCTGATGAGGTGGCGGATGGTCTCCTGAGGGATCTCCTCCCAGACCTGGACTAAAGCATCCGCCAACTCCTGGACAGTCTGTGGTGCAACGTGGCGTTGGTGGATGGAGCGAGACATGATGTCCCAGATGTGCTCAATTGGATTCAGGTCTGGGGAACGGGCGGACCAGTCCATAGCATCAATGCCTTCCTCTTGCAGGAACTGCTGACACACTCCAGCCACATGAGGTCTAGCATTGTCTTGCATTAGGAGGAACCCAGGGCCAACCGCACTAGCATATGGTCTCACAAGGGGTCTGAGGATCTCATCTCGGTACCTAATGGCAGTCAGGCTACCTCTGGCGAGCACATGGAGGGCTGTGCGGCCCCCCAAAGAAATGCCACCCCACACCATGACTGACCCACCGCCAAACCGGTCATGCTGGAGGATGTTGCAGGCAGCAGAACGTTCTCCACGGCGTCTCCAGACTCTGTCACGTCTGTCACGTGCTCAGTGTGAACCTGCTTTCATCTGTGAAGAGCACAGGGCGCCAGTGGCGAATTTGCAAATCTTGGTGTTCTCTGCCAAATGCCAAACATCCTGTACGGTGTTGGGCTGTAAGCACAACCCCCACCTGTGGATGTCGGGCCCTCATACCACCCTCATGGAGTCTGTTTCTGACCGTTTGAGCAGACACATGCACATTTGTGGCCTGCTGGAGGTCATTTTGCAGGGCTCTGGCAGTGCTCCTCCTGCTCCTCCTTGCACAAAGGCGGAGGTAGCAGTCCTGCTGCTGGGTTGTTGCCCTCCTACGGCCTCCTCCACGTCTCCTGAGGTACTGGCCTGTCTCCTGGTAGCGCCTCCATGCTCTGGACACTACGCTGACAGACACAGCAAACCTTCTTGCCACAGCTCGCATTGATGTGCCATCCTGGATGAGCTGCACTACCTGAGCCACTTGTGTGGGTTGTAGACTCCGTCTCATGCTACCACTAGAGTGAAAGCACCGCCAGCATTCAAAAGTGACCAAAACATCAGCCAGGAAGCATAGGAACTGAGAAGTGGTCTGTGGTCACCACCTGCAAAACCAGTCCTTTATTGGGGGTGTCTTGCTAATTGCCTATAATTTCCACCTGTTGTCTATTCCATTTGCACAACAGCATGTGAAATTTATTGTCAATCAGTGTTGCTTCCTAAGTGGACAGTTTGATTTCACAGAAGTGTGATTGACTTGGAGTTACATTGTGTTGTTTAAGTGTTCCCTTTATTTTTTTGAGCAGTGTAATTCACTGTATCACAATTCCAGTGCTTACATACACTAAGTTACATACACTAAGTTGACTGTGCCTTTAAACAGCTTGGAAAATTCCAGAAAATGATGTCATGGCTTTAGAAGCTTCTGATAGGCTAATAGACATCATTTGAGTCAATTGGAGGTGTAGCTGTGGAAGTATTTCGTTGCCTATCTTCAAACTCAGTGCCTCTTTGCTTGACATCATGGGAAAATCAAAAGAAATCAGCCAAAACCTCAGAAAAAAAATTGTAGACCTCCAGAAGTCTGGTTCATCCTTGGGAACAATTTCCAAACGCCTGAAAGTACCACGTTCATCTGTACAAACAATAGTATGCAAGTATAAACACCATGGGACCACGCAGCCGTCAAACCGCTCAGGAAGGAGACGCGTTCTGTCTCCTAGAGATGAACGTACTTTGGTGCGAAAAGTGCAAATCAATCCCAGAACAACAGCAAAGGACCTTGTGAAGATGCTGGAGGAAACAGGTACAAAAATATATATATCCACAGTAAAACGAGTCCTATATCGACATAACCTGAAAGGCTGCTCAGCAAGGAAGAAGCCACTGCTCCAAAACCGCCATAAAAAAGACAGACTACGGTTTGCAACTGCACATGGGGACAAAGATCGTACTTTTTGGAGAAATGTTCTCTGGTCTTATGAAACAAAAATAGAACTGTTTGGCCATAATGACCAACGTTATGTTTGGAGGAAAAAGGGGATAATTGCAAGCTGAAGAACACCATCCCAACCGTGAAGCACGGGGGTGGCAGCATCATGCTGTGGGGGTGCTTTGCTGCAGGAGGGACTGGTGCACTTCACAAAATAGATGGCATCATGAGGAAGGAAAATTATGTGGATATATTGAAACAACATCTCAAGACATTAGTCAGGAAGTTAAAGCTTGGTCGCAAATGGGTCTTCCAAATGGACAATGACCCCAAGCATACTTCCAAAGTTGTGGCAAAATGGCTTAAGGACAACAAAGTCAAGGTATTGGAGTGGCCATCACAAATCCCTGACTTCAATCCTATATAAAAGTTGTGGGCAGAACTGAAAAAGGGTGTGCGAGCAAGGAGGCCTACAAACCTGACTCAGTTACACCAGCTCTGTCAGGAGGAATGGGCCAAAATTCACCCAGCTTATTGTGGGAAGCTTGTGGAAGGCTACCCGAAATGTTTGACTCAAGTTAAACAATTTAAAGACAATGCTACCAAATACTAATTAAGTGTATGTAAACTTCTGACCCACTGGGAATGTGATGAAAGAAATAAAAGCTAAAATAAATAATTCTCTCTACTATTATTCTGATATTTCACATTCTTAAAATAAAGTGGTGATCCTAACTGATCTAAAAAGGGAATTTTTACTAGGATTAAATGTCAGGAATTGTGAAAAACTGAGTTTAAATGTATTTGGCTAAGGTGTATGTAAACTTCCAACTTCAACTGTATATGGCTAAAACCAAAACTCAGAACTTATAACCAGATCAAAAACACCTATGATTCAGAACCCTATGTCACCTGTCACCTAACAAGAAATCAAGATCCTTGTGTGCCCGTTAAGAACCGGTTTACTACCTCTGGCAGTTGAAGTAGGTAGGTTCAATGCCATAAAAGAAGAAGAGCGGCTATGTAAAGTCTACGATTTAGGGGAGATCGAAAATTAACTTTTATTTTATTGTACTTTATATGATTTGAGAGTAACCTTGTTTCAAAAAATGCAACAACAAAAACCAGAACTATTCTGGAGTAGTGATGAAGAAAAACTTGAATGGCTATTTAGAAAAGGAGTGTCCCTGGTTGCAAATTTCTTTCCAAAGCTTGGAAGACGTGACAAGATCAGTTGTATAACTGAAAGGTTTTTGTGTTTCAATTGTTTTCATTTCAGTAGGATTGCAAATGGGTGTGTATGTACGTGCAGTACCAGTCAAATGTTTGGACACACCTACTCATTCATGTTTTTTGTTGTTGTTTTTTTAAACAATTTTTTACATTGTAGAATGATAGTGTAGACATGAACACTATGAAGTAGCACATATGGAATCATGTAGTAACCAAAAACAAGTTAAACAAATCAAAATATATTTTATATTTAAGATTCTTAAAATAGCTACCCTTTGCCTTGATGACAGCTTTGCACATTCTTATTATTCTCTCAACCAGCTTCATGAGGTAGTCACCTGGAATGCATTTCAATTAACAGGTGTGCCTTCTTAAAAGTTAATTTGTGGAATTTCTTTCCTTCTTAATGCGTTTGAGACAATCAGTTGTGTTGTAACAAGGTAGGGGGGTATACAGAAGATAGCCCTATATGGTAAAAGACCAAGTCCATATTATGGCAAGAACAGCTCAAATAAGCAAAGAGAAGGTCAGTCAATACGGAAAATTTCAAGTGCAGTCGCAAAAACCCTCAAGCGCTATGATGAAACTGGCTCTCATGAGGATCACCACAGGAATGGAAGACCCAAATCAAATCAAATCAAAAGGTATTTGTCACATACACGTGTTTAGCAGATGTTATTGCGGGTGTAGCAAAATACTTGTGCTTCTAGCTCCGACAGTGCAGTAATATCTAAAAAGTAATATCTAACAATTTCACAACATATACCCAATACACACAAATCTAAGTAAGGAATGGAATTAAGAATATATACATATATGGACGAGAAATGACAGAGCGGCATGGATTAAGATACAGTATAATATTATAGAATATTATAGAATACAGTATATACATATGAGATGAGTAATGCAAGATATGTAAACATTATTAAAGTGACTGGTGTTCCATTTCTTAAAGTGGCCAGTGATTTCTATAGGCAGCAGCATCCTCTAATGTGCTAGTGATGGCTATTTAACAGTCTGATGGCCTTGAGATAGAAGCTGTTTTTCAGTCTCTCTGTCCCAGCTTTGATGCACATGTACTGACCTTGCCTTCTGGATGATAGCGGGGTGAACAGGCAGTGGCTCGGGTGGTTGATGTCCTTGATGATCTTTTTGGCCTTCCTGTGACATCGGGTGCTGTAGGTGTCCTGGAGGGCGGGTAGTTTGCCCCCGGTAATGCGTTAGGCAGACCGCACCACCCTCTGGAGAGCCCTGCGATTGCGGGCGGTGCAGTTGCCGTACCAGGCGGTGATACAGCCCGACAGGATGCTCTCAATTGTGTAAAAGTTTGTGAGGGTTTTAGGGGCCAAGCCACATTTCTTCAGCCTCCTGAGGTTGAAGAGGCTCTGTTGCGCCTTCTTCACCACACTGTCTGTGTGGGTGGATCATTTCAGTTTGTCAGTGATGTGTACACCTTGGAACTTGAAGCTTTCCACCTTCTCCACTGCGGTCCCGTCGATGTGGATAGGGTGGTGCACCCTCTGCTGTTTCCTGAAGTCCACGATCATCTCCTTTTGTTTTGTTTTGTTGATGTAGATTGAGAGGTTATTTTCCTGGCACCACACTCCCAGAGCCCTCACCTCCTCCCTGTAGGCTGTCTCGTCATTGTTGGTAATCAAGCCTACTACTGTTGTGTCGTATGCAAACTTGATGATTGAGTTGGAGGCATGCTTGGCCACACAGTCATGGGTGAACAGGGAGTACAGGAGGGGGCTGCGCACGCACCCTTGTGGGGCCCCAGTGATGAGGATCAGGGAAGTGGAGGTGTTGTTTCCTACCTTCACCACCTGGGGGTGGCCTGTCAGGAAGTCCAGGACCCAGTTGCACAGGGCGGGGGTCAGACCCAGGGCATTGAGCTTAATGATGAGCTTGGAGGGTACTATGGTGTTGAATGCTGAGCTATAGTCAATTAACATGGGTATTCCTGTTGTCCAGGTGGGATAGGGTAGTGTGCAGTGTGATGGCAATTGCATCATCTGTGGATCTATTAGGGCGGTAAAAATAATTGAAGTGGGTCTAGGGTGACAGGTAAGGTAGAGCTGATATGATCCTTGAATCTTCATGATGACAGAGGTGAGTGCTATGGGGCGATAGTCATTTAGTAAAGTTACCTTTGCTCTCTTGGGTACAGGAACAATGGTGGCCATCTTGAAGCATGTGGGGACAGCAGACTGGGATAGGGAGAGATTGAATATGTCCGTAAACACACCAGCCAGCTGGTCTGCGCATGCTCTGAGGATGCACCTAGGGATGCCGTCTGGGCCAGAGTTACCTCTGCTGCAGAGGATACGTTCATTAGAGTTACCATCCTCAGAAATTGCAGCCCAAGTAAATGCTTCACAGAGTACCAGTCACAGACACATCTCAACATCAACTGTTCAGAGGAGACTGTGTGAATCAGGCCTTCATGGTCGAATTGGTGCAAATAAACCACTACTAAAGGACACCAATAAGAAGAAGAGACCTGATTGGGCCAAGAAACACGAGCAATGGACATTAGACCGGTGGAAATTTGTCCTTTGGTCTGGAGTCCAAATTTGAGATTTTTGGTTCCAACCGCCGTGTCTTTGTGAGATGTGGTGTGGGTGAACGGATGATCTCCGCATGTGTAGTTCCCACCTTAAAGAATGGAGGAGGAGGTGTTATGGTGTGGGGGTGCTTTGCTGGTGACACTGTCTGTGATTTATTTAGAATTCAAGGCACACTTAACCAGCATGGCTACCACAGCATTCTGCAGTGATATGCCATCCCATCTGGTTTGGGCTTAGTGGGACTATCATTTTCAACAGGACAATGACCCAACACACCTCCAGGCTGTGTAAGGGCTATTTTACAAAGAAGGAGAGTGATGGAGTGCTGCATCAGATGACCTGGCCTCCACAATCCCCCTACCTCAACTCAATTGAGATGGATTGGGATGAGTCGGACGGCAGAGTGAAGGAGAAGCAGCCAACAAGTGCTAAGCATATGTGGGAACTCCTTCAAGACTGTTGGAAAAGCATTCCAGGTGAAGCTGGTTGAGAGAATGCCAAGAGTGTTCAATGCTGTCATCAAGGCAAAGGGTGGCTATTTGAAGAATCTCAAATATAAAATATATTTTGATTCGTTTGACACTTTTTTGGTTAGTACATTATTCCATATGTGTTATTTCATGGTTTTGATGTCTTCACTATTATTCTACAATGTAGAAAATAGCAAAAGTATTCAGCCCCCTTGGCGTTTTTCCTATTTTGTTGCATTACAACCTGTAATTGAAATTGATTTTTATTTGGATTTCATGTCAATGAAGTGAAATGAAAAAAATTACTTACTAAATAAAAATAACGGAAAAGTCGTGCGTGCATATGTATTCACCCCCTTTGCTATGAAGCCCCTAAATAAGATCTGGTGCAATCAATTACCTTCAGAAGTCACATAATTAGTTAAATAAAGTCCACCTGTGTGCAATCTAAGTGTCACATCTCAGTATATATACACCTGTTCTGAAAGGCCCCAGAGTCTGCAACACCACTAAGCAAGGGGCAACACCAAGCAAGCGGCACCATGAAGACCAAGGAGCTCTCCAAACAGGTCAGGGACAAAGTTGTGGAGAAGTACAGATCAGGGTTGGGTTATTAAAAAATATCAGAAACTTTGAACATCCCACGGAGCACCATTTAAATCCATTATAAAAAAAATGGAAAGAATATGGTGCCACAACAAACCTGCCAAGAGAGGGCCGCCCACCAAAACTCACGGACCAGGCAAGGAGGGCATTAATCAGAGAGGTAACAAAGAGACCAAAGATAACCCTGAAGGAGCTGCAAAGCTCCACAGCGGAGATTGGAGTATCTGTCCATAGGACCACTTTAAGCCATACACTCCACAGAGCTGGGCTTTACGGAAGAGTGGCCAGAAAAATCCATTGCTTAAAGAAAAAAATAAGCAAACACGTTTGGTGTTCGCCAAAAGGCATGTGGGAGACTCCCCAAACATATGGAAGAAGGTACTCTGGTCAGATGAGACTACAATTGAGCTTTTTGGCCATCAAGGAAAACACTATGTCTGGTGCAAATCCAACACCTCTCATCACCCAGAGAACACCATCCGCACAGTGAAGCATGGTGGTGGCAGCATCATGCTGTGGGGATGTTTTTCATCGGCAGGGACTGGGAAACTGGTCAGAATTGAAGGAATGATGGATGGTGCTAAATACAGGAAAATCCTTGAGGGAAACCTGTTTCAGTCTTCCAGAGATTTGAGACTGGGACGGAGGTTCACCTTCCAGCAGGACAATGACCCTAAGCATACTGCTAAAGCAACACTCGAGTGGTTTAAGGGGAAACATTTAAATGTCTTGGAATGGCCTAGTCAAAGCCCAGACCTCAATCCAATCTGTGGTATGACTTAAAGATTGCTGTACACCAGCGGAACCCATCCAACTTGAAGGAGCTGGAGCAGTTTTGCCTTGAAGAATGGGCAAAAATCCCAATGGCTAGATGTGCCAAGCTTATAGAGACATACAGCAGCTGTATGTCTCTATAAAGAGACTTGCAGCTGTATTTGATGCGAAAGGTGGCTCTACAAATTTTTTTTTGGGGGGAATCTTCAAAGTGGTAGGCATGTTCTGTAAATCAAATGATACAAACCCCCCAAAAAATCAATTTTATTTCCAGGTTGTAAGGCAACAAAATTGGAAAAATGCCAAGGGGGGTGAATACTTCGCAAGCCACTGTATTTATGTATGTGCATATATACAGTGGGGAGAACAAGTATTTGATACACTGCAGATTTTGCAGGTTTTCCTACTTCAACAAGAAAGTCACATTGTATGATTTTTAAGTAATTAATTTGCATTTTATTGCATGACATAAGTATTTGATACATCAGAAAAGCTGAACTTAATATTTGGTAGAGAAAGCTTTGTTTGCAATTACAGAGATCATACGTTTCATGTAGGTCTTGACCAGGTTTGCACACACTGCAGCAGGGATTTTGGCCCACTCCTCCATACAGATCTTCTCCAGATCCTTCAGGTTTCGGGGCTGTCGCTGGGCAATACGGACTTTCAGCTCCCTCCATAGATTTTCTATTGGGTTCAAGTCTAGGCCACTCCAGGACCTTGAGATGCTTCTTACGGAGCCACTCCTTAGTTGCCCTGGCTGTGTGTTTCGGGTCGTTGTCATGCTGGAAGACCCAGCCACGACCCATCTTCAATGCTCTTACTGAGGGAAGGAGGTTGTTGGCCAAGATCTCGCGATACATGGCCCCATCCATCCTCCCCTCAATACGGTGCAGTCGTCCTGTCCCCTTTGCAGAAAAGCATTCCCAAAGAATGATGTTTCCACCTCCATGCTTCACGTTTGGGATGGTGTTCTTGGGGTTGTACTCATCCTTCTTCTTCCTCCAAACACGGCGAGTGGAGTTTAGACCAAAAAGCTCTATTTTTGTCTCATCAGACCACATGACCTTCTCCCATTCCTCCTCTGGATCAACCAGATGGTCATTGTCAAACTTCAGACGGGCCTGGACATGCGCTGGCTTGAGCAGGGGGACCTTGCGTGCGCTGCAGGATTTTAATCCATGATGGCGTAGTGTGTTACTAATGGTTTTCTTTGAGACTGTGGTCCCAGCTCTCTTCAGGTCATTGACCAGGTCCTGCCGTGTAGTTCTGGGCTGATCCCTCACCTTCCTCATGATCATTGATGCCCCACGAGGTGAGATCTTGCATGGAGCCCCAGACCGAGGGTGATTGACCGTCATCTTGAACTTCTTCCATTTTCTAATAATTGCGCCAACAGTTGTTGCCTTCTCACCAAGCTGCTTGCCTATTGTCCTGTAGCCCATCCCAGCCTTGTGCAGGTCTACAATTTTATCCCTGATGTCCTTACACAGCTCTCTGGTCTTGGCCATTGTGGAGAGGTTGGAGTCTGTTTGATTGAGTGTGTGGACAGGTGTCTTTTATACAGGTAACGAGTTCAAACAGGTGCAGTTAATACAGGTGGAGAACAGGAGGGCTTCTTAAAGAAAAACGAACAGGTCTGTGAGAGCCGGAATTATTACTGGTTGGTAGGTGATCAAATACTTATGTCATGCAATAAAATGCAAATTAATTACTTAAAAATCATATAATGTGATTTTCTGGATTTTTGTTTTAGATTCCGTCTCTCACAGTTGAAGTGTAGCTATGATAAAAATGACAGACCTCTACATGCTTTGTAAGTAGGAAAACCTGCAAAATCGGCAGTGTATCAAATACTTGTTCTCCCCACTGTAATTATCATAATTTTTTGGGGATACAGCAAATACAGTGTCTTATAAGCCCATGTGGGCTGGGCATCAGGAAGATGCTTGACACTATGATAAAATCAATCAATCATACAATGAAAACAATAACAGACCCTTTAGTGACGCCAAGTTTGAAACGAGTTAAGGGTGAGGAGTCATCATCTAATTGCACGAATTGGAGTCTGTCGGACAGGTAAGAGCGAAACCAAGAGAGCGCCCAACCTCGAAGACCGACATTTGTCTCTAGTCGTCTGAGAAGAATATGATGGTCAATAGTATCAAATGCTGCGCTTAGATCGAGACGCATGAGTACAGAGATAGATTATAATTTGTGACTTTTATAAGTGTGGTTTCAGTGCTGTGGTGACTGATAGGATTCATAGACAGAATTGGAGTTTAGAAAATCTGTAAACTGCTGATTTAGTGTTGGCTATGCTGTGACTGATATCTGGTTGTCTGCCCTTGCAAAGGGACCTGCGAGGAAATGCCTTTGAGTGTGACTGCCGTGCCAAGTGGCTGATGATGTGGCTGAAGAGCACCAATGCCACGGTTTCCGATGTAATTTGTGCCGGACCCAAGGACATGAAGGACAAGCGGCTGAACGACATGGCCAGCCTGCACAATGAATGCATCTCCACTGGTGAGGGAGCCCTCCATCATAAGGCCTACTTAACATAAACTCATATATATATACAATATATAAGAGTTGCCATAAACTATGAGAAGCATATTAGACATAACCATGGTAGCTGTTGAAAGGAAACACTTTGGAGGTTATGAGGAAATTCACAAAACAACAGTGATAACAAAAGTTCATCTGACAAGACTGAATTCAAACATTACAGTGTTGATTTTATGTGCAATTTACTTTTATTGTTGCCTGATGACTTATCCTGAATTTAATTTAGCTGCTCTATCAATCGCTACAGACAGTACATTGTCTGTATCTGCCATCCTAGAAGTCGTTCATGTGACTTCAAAATGAGGGGCGTTGTACAAAACAAACCAATCAGAGTATCAAAGTTGATAACGTCATCGTGTATGCCGGCTCTGGCCCAACCCATCGGTTTCTGGGACCAATCAGAACAGTCAGAATGTGTTTGCATTCCAGAAGTCGTCTGGGAGGGAGATAAATCGAGACTTATCATGGGCATGGCGTGGCGTTTGTCCGGAGTGATGTGGATAGGTAGCCAGGCAACTTTTACTGTACTTTTCGAAAGTATTTGGCAATAACAGAATTTGGAACTACTCGGGATACATTTTATTTCACCTTTATTTAACCAGGTAAGCCAGTTGAGAACAAGTTCTCATTTACAACTGCGACCTGGCCAAGATAAAGCAAAGCAGTGCGATAAAAACAACTACACAGAGTTACATATGGGGTAAACAAAACATAAAGTCAAAAATACAACAGAAAATATATATACAGTGTGTGCGAATGTAGTAAGTTATGGAGGTAAGGCAATAAATAGGACATAGTGCAAAATAGTTACAATTTCGTATTAACACTGGAATGATAGATGTGCAAAAGATGATGTGCAAATAGAGATACTGGGGTGCAAATTAGCAAAATAAATAACAATATGGGGATGAGGTAGTTGGGTGGGCTAATTTCAGAAAGGCTGTGTACAGGTGCAGTGATCGTAAGCTGCTCTGACAATTGAAGCTTAAAGTTATTGAGGGAGATAAGAGTCTCCAGCTTCAGAGATTTTTGCAGTTCGTTCCAGTCATTGGCAGCAGAGAACTGGAAGGAATGGCGGCCAAAGGAGGTGTTGGCTTTGGGGATGACCAGTGAGATTTACCTGCTGGAGCGCATACTACGGGTGGGTGTTGCTATGGTGACCAGTGAGCTAAGATAAGACGGGGATTTGCCCGGGTGGGTGTTGCTATGGTGACCAGTGAGCTAAGATAAGACTGGGATTTGCCTAGCAGTGATTTATAGATGACCTGGAGCCAGTGGGTTTGGCGACGAATATGTAGTGAGGGCCAGCCAACAAGAGCGTACAGGTCACAATGGTGGGTAGTATATGGGGCTTTGGTGACAAAACGGATGGCACTGTGATAGACTACATCCAATTTGCTGAGTAGAGTGTTGGAGGCTATTTTGTAAATGACATCGCCGAAGTCAAGGATCGGTAGGATAGTCAGTTTTACGAGGGCATGTTTGGCAGCATGAGTGAAGGAGGCTTTGTTGCGAAATAGGAAGCCGATTCTAGATCTAACTTTTGATTGGAGATGCTTAATGTGAGTCTGGAAGGAGAGTTTACAGTCTAACCAGACACCTAGGTATTTGTAGTTGTCCACATACTCTAGGTCAGACCCGCCGAGAGTAGTGATTCTAGTCGGGTGGGTGGGTGCAAGCAGCGTTCGGTTGAAGAGCATGCATTTAGTTTTACTAGTGTTTAAGAGCAGTTGGAGGCTACGGAAGGAGTGTTGTATGGCGTTGAAGTTTGTTTGGAGGTTTGTTAACACAGTGTCCAATGAAGGGCCAGATGTATACAAAATGGTGTCGTCCGCATAGAGGTGGATCCGAGCGTCACCAGCAGCAAGAGCAACATCATTGATATACACAGAGAATAGAGTCGGCCCGAGAATTGAACCCTGTGGCACCCCCATAGAGACGGCCAGAGGTCCAGACAACAGGCCCTACGATTTGACACACTGAGAAGTAGTTGCAGGGCAAGTTGCAGCGGAGGGTGCAGAGCTGGTGGCTGGGGTAGTAGTAGCCAGGTGAAAAGCATGGCCAGCTGTAGCAAAATGCTTGTTGAAATTCTCGATTATTGTAGATTTATTGGTGGTGACAGTGTTTCCTAGCCTCAGTGCAGTGGGCAGTTGGGAGGAGGTGCTCTTATTTTCCATGGACTTGACAGTGTCCCAAAACTTTTTGGAGTTAGTGCTACAGGATGCAAATTTCTGTTTGAAAAAGCTAGCCTTTGCTTTCCTAACTGATTGTGTATATTGGTTCCTGACTTCCCTAAAAAGTTGCATATCGTGGGGGCTGTTCGATGCTAATGCAGTACGCCGGAGGATGTTTTTGTGCTGGTCAAGGGCAGTCAAGTCTGAGGAGAACCAGGGGCTATATCTGTTCTTAGTTCTGCATTTTTTGAATGGGGCATGCTTATTTAAGATTGTGAGAAAAGCACTTTTAAAGAACAACCAGGCATCCTCTACTGACGGAATGAGGTCAATATCCATCCAGGATACCCGGGCCAGGTCAATTAGAAAGGCCTGCTCGCTAAAGTGTTTTAGGGAGCGTTTGACAGTCATGAGGGGTGGTCGTTTGATCGCGGACCCATTACGGATGCAGGCAATAAGGCAGTGATCGCTGAGATCCTGGTTGAAGACAGCAGAGGTGTATTTAGAGGGTAAATTTGTCAGGATGATATCTATGAGGGTGCCCATGTTTACAGATTTAGGGTTGTACCTGGTAGGTTCGTTGATAATTTGTGTGAGATTGAGGGCATCTAGTTTAGATTGTAGGTTGGCCGGGGAGTTAAGTATATCCCACTTTAGGTCACCAAGCAGTACGAACTCTGAGGATAGATGGGGGGCAATCAGTTCACATATGGTGTCCAGGGCACAGCTCGGGGCTGAGGAGGGTCTGTAGCAAGCGGCAACAGTGAGAGACTTATTTCTGGAAAGGTGGATTTTTAGAAGTAGAAGCTCAAACTGTTTGGGCACAGACCTGGATAGTACGATAGAGCTCTGCAGGCTATCTCTACAGTAGATCGCAACCCCACCCCCTTTGGCAGTTCTATTGAGACGGAAAATGTTGTAGTTGGGGATAGACATTTCTGAATTTTTGGTGGCCTTCCTAAGCCAGGATTCACCACTACTAGAACATCAGGGTTGGCGGAGTGTGCTAACGCAGTGAATAACTCAAACTTAGGGAGGAGGCTTCGGATGTTAACGTGCAAGAAACCAAGGCTTTTACGATTACAGAAGTCAACAAATGATAACGCCTGGGGAGTAGGAGTGATACTGGGGGCTACAGGGCCTGGGTTAACCTCTACATCACCAGAGGAACAGAGGAGGAGTAGGATAAGGATATGGCTAAAGGCTTTAAGTACTGGTCTTCTAGTGTGTTGGGTACAGAGAAAAAAAGGGTCAGGTTTCCAGGCGTTGTAGAATAGATTCAGGGCATTATGTACAGAAAAGGATATGGAAGGATATGAGTACAGTGGAGGTAAACCTAAGCGTTGGGTAACGATGAAAGAGATAGCATCACTGGAGGCACCGATTGAGTCGGTCTCCGTGTGTATGGGGGGTGGGACAAAGGAGCTATCTAAGGCAGGTTGAGCTGGGCTGGGGGATCTACAGTGAAATAGTACAATAAGAAATAACCGAAACAGCAATAAGCAAGGTATATTGACATGGGAGAGAGGCATAAAGCAATCACAGGTGTAATTTGAGAGAGCTAAGACAACAGCTGGTAATGGCAACAAAGTTTGGGCTGAGGCTAAACATAAACAGGATGCGGTATCGTAAAAAGGAACAGTCCAGCAGGCATCAGCTGTATAGCTGAGTTATCATAAGGTCCGGTGAACAGCAATAGGATAGTTCGGAGGTAGTTCGGGGGCTGCTATAGCACTAGTGAGCAAGAGGCCACGGCTAGCGTGTGCTAGCGGGCCGGGGCTAGCAGATGGATCTTCGTGGTCGACGTCGTAACGGGAAGCCTGTTGTAACCACATCAGACGATTACCTCGGCAGACCAGTCGTGTTGGATCGGCGGGGCTCCGTGTCAACACTAGGAGGTCCCGTCCGGTTGACAGAGAGGTAGATAGCCGGGAGATGGGCCTGGCTCAAGGCTAACTCAGGGCTGATTAGCCAACCACAAACGTCCATTTGGTTGCAGCTAGTTAGTAGCGATGAATCCGGTGTTAAAGGTTCAGTGATTCCAGCAGAAAAACCGATATGTTCAGGGTCGATAACACACTGTGCAGACAGTGCAGACTGGCCGAATAATAGTCCAAGCTAGAGCTGGCTGGCTGGTAGGTAGTGCAGGCCACGGCCACGGACAATGGTGAAGACCACTAACGGTGACTAATAGCAAGTAGCTAGTTAGCTGGCAAGCGATGATCCGGTGTTAAGGTCCAGTGATTCAGTGGTTCCGGCAGAAAATCTGATATGCTCTGGCTCGATAGCACGATGTGCAGACTGTGCAGACTGGCCGACAATTGTCCAGGCTAGATCTGGCTGGTAAGGTAGTGCAGGCCACGGCCACGGACAATGGTGAAGACCGCTAACGGTGGCTAATAGCAAGTAGCTAGTTAGCTGGCTAGCTGGCTAGTTTCAGCCAGAGGTTCTGGATAAAAATGTATGAAGAAACAACAGAATCCATTCCACATTGGGTGAGGCGGGTTGCAGGAAAGTATATTTTGTTAAAGGATGGAAAGTGAGATTGAGAAATATATACGAAAAAAACAGGCTATTTACATAAGGACACTACAGAAAACACGACCGCACTGCTATGACATCTTGGATCATCTTGGATCATTATTATACATTCAGTAACATAACGAGAATATTAATGAAACATTTGGGATTGATACAGCATACTACTTAAAAGGTTTGAGTGATAGGTCTAACTGGTGTCTCCAAATGGCCACACCTTCCAAAGTGTGCACAGTTCCTAATTCATTTCAATACACTTTTATGTTTCATGGAAAGCTTTCTTTAGCTCTCCTGGCTTTCCCTTTTGGAGCAACTGAAACAAGACCACTTGTGGTTTTTGTATAGATTGCACCCCTGCGTCCCCAACCTCTCACAATTACTGTTGTTGTTTACACTTAATCTCTCGTGGACAGATCTACATAAACATAACTGGGACCGTAGAATCTGTCGGAAAGGAATGGGATGCATAGGATAACGAGCAGCAATTGTTCCGGTGTTTTTTTTTTTGTCACTGGTTATTTGGACAAATCACAATTTTGCAGGTGTTAGCACCTTTCATATTTCGGAAGGGGAGGGGATTTTCAGCCCGTAACCTGCAAAGTCAGAGGATGGAGCTCCTCGTTCCGATTCCACTCCTCATACTAGCATCTCTTCATCTCTTCTCTTAACACGTATAGAACCAGAACTTAATCGAGCAGCTGACCAATTACGTGAAACTTTAGTTGAAGATTAGTTTACACTACACAAAAATTGTTTATTACAAATCATACTAATGCTAAGATTGCCCACTCTCCACAGATTTTATCCACCATCAGTCGGTGCCGTCAGAGTCTCTGTCTGTGGACACATTCTCTTATAAAAATGACGTCTATGTGGCCATCGCTGCACCAAACACAGAGAGTTGTATGGTTTTACAGTGGGACCACATTGAGATGAACTTCAGGACTTATGACAACATCACAGGTATTTGGTAACATGACATCTTACGTCACTGAAGATGACATTTTTCTCTCTCAAACACACTTGTTGTGGGCAAGTACACAGTAAAATTTCAAATAGACTGGATGAGTGAAATTATAAAATGCAGCACAATTTATGTTTTAACTTATTTTTTCCATGGGAAGGATGATACATTTAACCAGAGTGTTAGTATACATGCAGATTCATGCTGACACTGTACACACAAAGCATTTGCGAGCTCCAGTATCATATTTCCAGTTTTTTTAAACGTTACAGTGTGTTTACTGATAACGTGTGTGTTGGCAAGAGGAAAATGCTGCCCTTAATGTCAAGTGACAAAATCACTGCTTAAATAGTGGTGAGTATTATCATCAATCATTTTGTGGTTTATGTCTAGTGCTGTTTCTCTTCCTTCTCCTTAATTAATATATTTCCAGTATTTTAAAGCCAGAAAACTATCATTTGAATTTCTAAATGTATCTGTTCTGTGTCTCAAATCTCAGGCCAGTCAATCGTTGGGTGCAAGTCGGTCGTCATCCAGAACCAGGTCTTTGTCATAGTGGCCCAGCTCTTTGGTGGTTCTCACATATACAAGTTTGATGAAGACCAGAGCAGGTTCAGCAAGTTTCAGGATATTGAGGTATCCAAGATCTCCAAGCCCAACGACATTGAAGCCTTCCAGATTGCTGGCGAGTGGTTCTTTGTGATTGCCGACAGCTCAAAGGCAGGGCTCTCCACTCTCTACAAGTGGAACGACAAGGGCTTCTACTCCTATCAGTCCCTGCATGAGTGGTTCCGTGACACTGATGCTGAGTTTGTGGATCTGGATGGCAAGTCCCACCTCATCTTGGCCAGCCGCTCCCAGGTGCCTGTAATCTACCAGTGGAGCAGGAATGCCCAGACGTTTGCCCTGCAGGGCGAGATCCCCAACATGGAGGATGTGGTGGCCGTCAAGGCCTTCCGGGTCAAGGAGGACCTCTACCTGGCCATGACACGCTATATAGGTGACTCTAAGGTACTCCGCTGGAGCGGCAAACAGTTTATGGAGATCCAAGCCCTGCCCTCGCGAGGTGCTATGATTCTCCAGCCGTTCTCCTTCAAAGAGCGCCACTATCTGGCCCTGGGCAGCGACTATACCTTCTCACAGATCTACCTGTGGGACGCTGATAAGAAAGTCTTTGAGCGCTTCAAAGAGGTGTACATCATGGCACCACGCTCCTTTACCGTGGTATCCACCGACCGCCGGGACTTCATTTTCTCCTCCAGCTTCAAGGGCAATACGCAGATCTTCGAGCATATCATCATCGACTTGAGCTTATGAGATAGTCTGGGCTTCAGCCCCTGCATCTTATGTCTTCCATTATAAAAGTTGACATTTTTGTGGGGGAAAGGAGGGACAAGGGGCCAAGAGAGGGAGAGGGAACTCAAGCAGCATTATCAACTATGTATTCCTATTAAGCACCTCTTGTGTTTGTATACCGTTTTTAATCAGTCATGTCCCCCAGTACTGTTCTGTTTACTTTTATACGCACAGGTAATCTTGGTTAACCCAGAACTAAAATCTCACGAAATTTGGTCACCTGAGGGATTCAGTTCTGGGTCTACACGTGTTAGAAATTGGGAGTTCCAGTTTGCAAAGTCTTGCAAAAGGAAACTCTCAGCCAACTCTTTTCCTTTTCCACAATGTACATTGCCTTATCAGCACAAGCGTTTTAGTGTTTTGTTTGTCCTGCTGCTGGGCCACCTAGCTATGAATAGTGATCACTCCCATCTGCTTTGTAGATATAGGGAAAAGTGGCAGCAGCACAAACCTTTAATAACTATATTGTATGACCCAGAACCCTTGTGACCCCGAACCCAGAACTCTTAAACAATCATTAGCAGTACACATTTATGTTTTTATTTAGTTTATATCGTCCATATAAGCAGTTTCACAAATATTTGGGCATTTACAAAAGTTTTCGTTGCTCAGATTTGTTTTTTATTCCACATAATTTACAATTACTCAAGTCCCTAAACAAATCTTTGTTGCAGAAGTACAACTAGATATATGTGTATTGATTGACTATATTCAATCAGTTCCGCTTTAGCCGACAACCGCATAGCGTTTTTTGGGGGGCTGTGTCGGAGGTGGAACTACGTTAGAGCTGTGAAATCCACAAGCGGCACATGGCATTATACCTAAAGCGGACATTGCCATTAGCTGCACAGAGTCGCATTACGAGAAATTCCATGCAGCCTGGTTTACAAGCTCGAACACTGGAATGTGAGATGTAATCCAGACCTCGAATAGGTTGATAGAAATTATTTCGTTTGAATGATTTTCAATTTGAGCGTCATTATTTCTATATACTACTTTCTCGTTCTGAACTTCTAACGCAAGTAGGATGGTTGTGGCTTCGTAACAATGATCAAGAGAAGCTGCTCACCGATTTGACAGCTACAGTTACAGTTACACCTCCGACACCTGCAAAACATCAGCAATGCGGGTTTCGGCTATCGCCGGTTAACACTTGAAGGCATCATCATAGATATTGACTACGCTAGTTTGATTGTTAAAAACATTGACCAAATAAGCCAACATTAAAGGTCTACAGATGTATTATTTTGGACAATAATGATACATATTAACATATATGCTATTATAGTATTTTTTTTGGGGGGGGTGGGGGGGTAGATCAGCTTTAATATTACGTTATTATAGTATTGATGAGGTTACTTTCTGACAGAAAGTATGTCTCATCCATGTATGATCGCATTCTCCCTCCATATTGCACAGCTGGTGTTTTGCTTGTCAGTCTCATGTAATAACTCATTGTTATCACGTAAACTCTGTGAAATTGTCTCTGCCTCAAACAGCAAAGTTACAGTTGGTGATCAGAGTTCAAATGAGAATTGATCATATGTCTTGCAGAGAACACAGCCACAATAATTGTATTGTCGTTTTTTTTATATAGATTTCCAGGTCTCAAATGTAACATTTGCATAGTATATAATTATACTGGTAGCGTATTTAACCACCATATGGCAATATTTGAGCCATACCTCCAACAATTCCTCTTCTAAAGAAACACATTTGTATGCTGTGGGGAACTGTCCACTGTAAACTCCTGTCTTGAGGACTACTAAATATGGTGAAATGACTACTAAATATGTTGATGTTTCCAAGGTCTACAAGTAATCTCATATGGGTTATGCATATGATTTTCATAGGAACAAATATCTGAATTTTCTCTGCATGTTGATAAATGAGGCCGACTAAGAGTATGAGTCTACTTGAGACTATAGGCCACTAGAGGAAAGTCTTGCACAGTCTGCTGGCTCCCGATGAAATGTTATTTCACTCGCAGGCTGAAATATCCGGTATACAACTGCGCATAACCAGCAAGCATTAGCATGGTGGCTAAGTGTAACATGTTTGCCTATGGGAAATCCTAACAGCTGCTTAAGTTGTAACCTGAGGGTTAAACCAGACTTGTTCCTCTACATTAGCCGCTAATATGCTACATCGTAAGCATGGCCCGAATGAGTTCAGACAAGTTCATGTACAACTCCCAATTGATAGGGTTGAGTAATTATCTTAGCAAAACACTGACCCTTCCAGTGTCACAGCTTTGTAAATAACTAGATGTCTGTCTATCAGATAATGGCATGTTTTATGCTTTTTATAGATTTAGTCAACCTGTAACCTGCATATAGCCATAAGAAATCATTAAAAGTTCAACAGGCACCGACAGAGATTTAGAATTTATAAAGTTTTTGCGTGATTTCCCACAGCAATCGTTTATGCCTAAAGTTTTGATCTGTGATGTTCTTGCATGAACAGATTACTTGTGCAAGTAAATTATAATGATAAAAAAGTAAATTAAAAACTTGTACAGAAAACTACCGCCCGCATTTTAACCAAAACTAGAAGGCATGAACACATCACTCCAATGTTATCCTAATTTCACTGGCTGCTTGTAAAGTATCAGTCTAATTTTAAGATTTTACTCTCAACTTTTAAATCATTGCACGGCCTTGCCCCCTCTTATCTGACATGCTCGTTCCATATAACCCAGGTTGAAAGCTCCGCTCCCAAGGTGGCCTGTTGATGATACCTAGGTGTAGAACCAAGGCCGGGAGCGGAGCATTCTCTATCAGAAACCCATCGTTTTGGAGCGACTTACCCTGTTAGGTAAGAGGGACAGACACAATTTAGGTTTTTGAATCACACTTGAAAACCCACCTTTTTACGTTGCCTTTAAAATATGGTTTAGTAGGTATTTTAGCATCCTTTTTTGCTTTATGTTAATTTCTTCATATTTTATTGCCTTCCGTTTAAAAAAATCTCTTACCTTTTATTGTTTTTACTGTAATATGTGTTGTGATTTTAAATGCCCTTTAAATAAAGTTTGATTTGATAAAAGATGTTAGTCTACAATGTATTCAACTTTCTTGACTGACACTGTGAGAGTGTGATTTGAAGGAGTCAGGTGCAGGAGGGTAAATCACCGAATACAGAGTTTATTCCATAGGACACAGTTACGCTGGATAGCATCATCAAAATACAGGCACACGGGGAACAATATCTCCGGAAATACAAGGTACGGGTAGCTCAACCGAGCTACACTCAACTCACAAATAACAATGACCCACAAGGAAAAGGGGGGGCAGAGGGAACACTTATACATGTACTAATGAGGGGATATGAACCAGGTGTGTGTAATTGACGACGAACACTGAAGCCTGCCCGAACAAGGAGGAGAGGCAGCTTCGGAGGAAGTCGTGACAGTACACCCCCCCCCCCCCCCCCCCCCCCCCCACACCTTGACGCGCAGCTCCAGCAGCACGCCGACCCCAGCCTCGGGGACGGCCAGGAGGACACAGAGCAGGGCGAGCCGGATGGCGACGGTGGAAATCCCGCAACAGGGAGGGATCGAGGATATCCCTCACCGGGACCCAGCACCGTTCCTCTGGACGTACCCCTCCCACTCCACGAGGTACTGAAGGCCCGACGCCTCGAATCCAGGATGGAACGGACGGAGTACGCCGGGGCCCCCTCGATGTCCAGAGGAGGCGGAGGGACCTCCCGGACCTCAGACTCCTGGAGTGGACCAGCCACCACCGGCCTGAGGAGAGACACAACCCTAATACGGTAATCGGGGGGAAGTAATAACTGATAGGTGACCTCGTTGATTCTCCTCAGGACTTTAAATGGCCCCACAAACCGCGGGCTCAGCTTTTGGATGTGAACTGGGGACCTCAGTCAGACACTATATCCTCTGGTACCCCGTCGTGCCGGAAGACGTGTGTAAACAGGGCCTCCGCAGTTTGCAGGGCCGTGGGGAGACCAGGCAGAGGAAGGAGGCGGCAGGCCTTGGAAAAGCGGTCCACAACGACCTTGGGAGAGGGGAAGATCAGTCAGGAAATCAACACTTAGATGAGACCATGGTCGTTGTGGAATATGTAAAGGTTGTAACTTACCCGCTGGGAGGTGCCTAGGTGCCTTACTCTGGGCACACACCAAGCAGGAGGAGACATACACCCTCACGTCCTTAGCCAAGGTAGGCCACCAGTACTTTCCGGTCAGGCAGCGCACTATACGACCGATACCTGGGTGACCAGAGGAGGGTGACGTGTGTGCCCAGTAGATCAGACGATCACGGACGAGCACGTACCGCAGTCCAGCTGGACACTGAGGTGGAGATGGATCTGTGCGCAATCCGCGTCCATCGCCCATACTACCGGCACCACAATGCAGGAAGCCGGGAGTATGGGGGTGTTGTCTCTGGGCCTCTCCTCTGTGTCATACAGCCGTGACAATGCATCTGCCTTCACGTTCTTCGTACCCGGGATGTATGACAGTGTAAAATCGAACCGGGTGAAGAATAGGGCCCACATGGCCTGGCGAGGATTCAGCCTCATCGCTGCCCGGATGTACTCCAGGTTACGGTGGTCCGTCCAGACGAAGAAAGGGTGTTTCGCCCCTTCAAGCCAATGCCTCCACACGGTCAAAGAACAGCCAACAGCTCCCGATCACCAACGTCGTAGTTCTGCTCCGTCGGGCTGAGCTTCTTAGAGAAGAAGGCACAGGGGCGGAGCTTGGGTGGCGTTCCCGAGCGTTTAGATAGGACAGCGCCTATCCCTACCTCGGACGCATCCACCTCCACTACGAACGGTAGTGATGGATTGGGGTGGACCAGTACAGGGGCTGAAGTGAACAGACCCCTCAGTTTCCTGAAGGCCAGGTCAGCCTCAGCAGACCAGCGGAGCCAGGACGGCCCACCCTTCAACAGAGATGTAATGGCAGCTGCGACCTTGCCAAAGCCCCGGATAAAC